TGGTTTAAGTGAAAAATGGGTGGCACCAATGGTAGGCTTACGTATCCCTGTGTGCAGTTGAGTTAAATTAGGAATGGCGTACGCCATAATGCCACCATTTTTAGCATTTGCAAGACGAAAGATGTTTTGAGCCTCATCCTCATATGGAATATTTGGTTCGTTTCTAAATATACCTTCATCCTCTTTGCACTCTTCTTCGTTGTCTAAAAGTTTGTTCAATATCCGGATCAAGTGGAAAAAATTCACCGTGCGACAGCCTTGGCATGCACGGTGCACTCAAAAAAAGATGGTAGAAAAACTAACTTTTATAAACTTTACTTAAAAAGAAAAAGCTTCAGCGTACTATCCCCGGCAGCGGCACCAAATACTTGCTCGTCGGTTTATTCAACCTTAGATTCCAACACAAAAATAGAACTCGGAGCAAGTATACATCTCGAACTACTGTCGTCTCGTAACAAGTAATAATAATGGTAAAAAGTACCAGATATCGTTCCCACAGAGATAGCTTGTAAAGTTATTTCAAAAGTCCAGTTTATAAAAATTAATTTCAGATGGCGAATCGAGAGATTTGATTTATCTAAAATGGGGAGGTTTGATTAACAACTAAGAAAATATCAGTCTTTAAGAAGAAGCACAGGGTGCAACAGTTGATTAAGACATTAAACAAATGATTCAGCAAAAAGGTGACATAGCATTCCTGTCACAATTATCTAAAATCATTAAATGATTTTATATAACTATAACTGTATCAACTATCGGATCAGACGGCCTCCCAAGAGCACACACCAGTCAACGTGCTATCGATACGATATCATTTATGTTAGACGTCGTGAATCCTAGCACAACACAGTGTTACCATCCTACACCGTAGGAGTATAGCATTTGTCAGACACTAAAGCTATTTATAGCCTTCTCCTATTACCTCAGGTTTTGAAAGTCAATACATTTTTATACACAAAATTAGTTGTCAATTAATTTTAATGTAATCATCAATTGAAATATTAAGCACCTGAAATAAATAGTAGACTATAATGCTAACAAGACACCTTTGTACTTTCACATCGGCTTTGGTCTTAATTTCCCGTTACACCCCAAGCTAAGGCATTAGCCCATCATTGCTCGGTTTCTTCTCTCGAAGGATGTAAGGACTRAAAAATAAATAACTGAGACGGWAAAGTAAATTGCAGAWAATAAATTACAKAAAGTAAATTACAGGAAATGGAAATACTGGAATTTAAAGTACTGGAAATTAAATGACAGAAATGTAAATGACTGAAAGTAAAGTACTGGAAATTAAATGACAGAAATGTAAATTGCAGTAAAGTAAAGACTGAAATGTAAAGGACTGAAATGTAAATAACTGAAATATAAATGACTGAAATATAAATGACTGAAATATAAATGACTGAAATATAAAGACTGAAATATAAATACTGAAATATAAAGACTGAAATATAAATACTGAAATATAAAGACTGAAATATAAATACTGAAATATAAATTATTAATAACTAAATAATATTAATTAATATTAATCTAATCATAATGAAAGAAAGTACATGATGGGATGACAAATGGTACTTTGAATGAGGAGGTGACATAAGAAAACCTTGGAAAATGGAGTTGACTTTTGAAGAAAACTTGCAAACTAAGTAACGAAACTTGCAAAACAAGTTTCATTACAAAGACCGAAAGATTACTTGCAAACTGGTAAAAATAGATTATTTAGTCTACGTAAATTAACCGTGAGCCACAACGGATGAGATCCGATGTAAAGCAACAACAATCRATTAATTCGTAACTCGTAAAAGATAAGAAAACGTAACGTAACTTAGAACAGAAATGAGATGAAGATTAAACACGAATACTTGAATTAAAATTTGAGAATGAAGGCACAACTACAAAAGTTGGTTCTTGAAAAGTCAAACAACGTAAACCGAAAGCTTAGAACCGAAAGAAATATTCTAGAGAGCAATTATCACTAATATCACAAGTGTTAAATGGTAGAAAGTATGAAAAAGTGTTTTAAAACAAGCCTTAAGCCTTCTTTATATAGGCTAAGGAAGATCTCATAGTGGGTGCCAACTAATAAGACAAAAGCTTCTTCAAAACTGGGCTTTGACCGGGCCCAAGGTCGTTGACCACGCATCCTCTATGGATCAGCCCATTTCTCCACGGCCCAAGCAAATTTTCAGCTCTCGGACAGGTACTATAGGACCTTGCCACACCTGGTCCTGTAGGACTACCGTAGGACTGGGCCCAAAAATCATCAAAAACCTGTAAAAACAGGGAATTAACATTAGATATACTATATAACTACTAATATATGAAAAAGATATAAAAAGACTCAATTAAGACACTAATGGGTAAATAAAACAAAGGAAAATGGTTAAGAAAATGATGTAATAAGGTTAATAAATTAACACTTATCACCTTCCTCTTCAATATCCGTTGTTATTTTCATATGGAGAAGATGGTTACAGAGTTGACATTCCTCATAGAGAGGTAACATCTTCAAGTAAAAGTAAAAGAACAACTGTAACAATGAGGGAGTTCTTCGCCTTCAAACTTCAAGATAGAAGGAATATGTTTTCATTACTTCTCAATGCAAGGAGGCTTCTACAGCAATTTATTGTTGATGGATACACAATGATTGAAAGTGAGAGGTTGCATTATATACGTAAGCAGCAAAAAGTCCTAAGGTGCGAGATATATGATACTCCATGCAATGTACAAGAACAAGGAGAGTGGGATGTTTCAAACATTGGACAACATGTTATACTACCTTCTTCTTTCACTGGTGGTGCTCGGTACATGATGCAAAATTATTTGCATGCAATGTCCCTTTGTAAATGGTATGGATATCTTGACTTGTTTCTAACCATGACTTGCAATCCAAAATGGCCAGAAGTTAGAAGATTTGTTAAGGACACATGCCTAAATACAGAAGACAGGCCTAACATTCTTTGTCGTTTATTTAAGATCAAGCTTGATGCACTTATTAGAGAATTGAAAGAGAATGAGTTTTTTGGCAAAATTCAAGTAGGTATGTTCAATATATGATAACAGTATCAACATATTTCTTCATAGTTTTAGTCTTATCTTTATTAATTTAAATTATAACTTTTTTGTAGTTGTTTATACAATTGAATTTCAAAAATGTGGCTTGCCTCACAGTCATATCTATCTGTTTATGCACTGAGATTTCAAGTTACCTACTGTTGAACAGATTTATCCTATGATTTTAGCTGAAATCCCAGACAAAAACAGTGATCCAAACTTGTACTTACTTGTAAAAGAGTTCATGATGCATGGACCATGTGGTGAAGAAAACATTAATTGTTCATGCATGATTGATAGAAAGTGTTCAAAAAAAATACTCAAAGAAATTTTCTGAACACACTTCAATTGATGTTAATGGTTATCATGTATACCGCAGATGAGTTGATGGATGTTTTATTGAAAAATCAGGTGTTAAACTAGACAACAGAAATGTTGTTCCATATAATAAACATCTGTTGAAAAGATATCAAGCCCACATTAATGTTGAGTGGTGCAATCAAGCATCTTCAATCAAGTATCTGTTCAAATACATCAACAAAGGTCCAGATAAAGCTACTGTTGCAATTGTAGAAAACAGTGATGATGAGGTCACTATTAATGTTGTTAATGAGATAAAACAGTATTATGATTGTAGATACCTTTCTGTATGTGAAGCTTCATGGCGTATTTTTGGATATGATGTTCATTATAGGACTCCTTCTGTTTTAAGACTTCTTTTTCATCTTCTGGGACAACAATAAGTAGTGTTTGGTGTAATATGCGGTTTAAGCATTTTTTTTAAAAGTTTAAATTTGTTTTCTATAAATTATGGTTGTATAGATGAGAGTGTAGGTGTGTGTGTATTTAGTGATGTTTATACATTTGATGGGGGAAAGGGGAGTCGGCGGTATGCACCGCCCCCATAGTTTTCCATTTTACTATAAGTAGTAAATGGAGTTTTAGAAAGAAAGTTTTGACACACATTTTCTAAAAAGGGAAGTCTCTTCGAAGTTACCATCCAGACTTGACAAAAGAAGAAAGGGAAATTCAAACTAGGATTTCGGTTCTTAAAGTGAGTGTATTATGCTTTTGAGTATTAATTATTTGTATGCAATTCATTGCCATTTGAAATTTGATCTATTATCTATATTGTCTAGATTCAACCCTAAACCGGACAAGGGGTGTCCGGATTTGTCATAAACCGCCCAAGAGACAATCGGATACTCTTTAAACCATTTGAGTATCAACCAGATTTTCCTTAAACCGACCAAGGGATGTCCGGATATATCTAAACCGCATAAGTATTAACCAAGGTAACCCTAAACCGCTCAAAACATCAAGTGTTGTCCGGATTAGATATCCGAACAATGTTTTCCGGATTAGATATCCAGACAATGTTGTCCGGATTACATCTCCGGTCGATTGACCGGATTTCATATTCGATTGATTTTGGTATTATTCCACTATTGTTATGTAATGGTAGTGTAACCGTGAGAGAGATGTAATGACGGTGTAACCGCGAGAAAAAGATATAACCGTGAGAAAGAGATGTAATGGCGGTGTAACCGCAAGAGAGAGAGAGAGAGAGATGTAATGGCAGTGTAACCGCGAGAGTGAGATGTAATGGTAGTTTAACCGTGAGAAAGAGATATAATGGCGGTATAACTGCAAGAGAGAGAGAGATGTAATGACAGTGTAACCGCGAGAATGATCTAATGGCGGTGTAACCGCGAGAAGAAGAGAATCTATAACAAATATAGATAAAAATGTTTATGACTCTATAAGTTTGATTCTAAACTGTTAGTTTGGAATATAAGTTATTTATATGTGATTGATACACTCACTAGACCTTTTGTGTCTAATGCTCAGTTGTTGGACTAACCTGTTTTGCAGGTCATCATACATCCCAAGATAAAGGCAAGGGGAAAGTTTGAACTATGATATTTAGACGCACATAAATGTATTAAACAAAGTTTTTGTTAGCCCATGTTTTGTAAACAATAATACATTCTTCTTTATGAATATGATTATGTGGATTATTTGTACGTGAAAATTGTGGGTTGTTTCAGTTGGTATTAGGGCCTTAGTTTAAGGGATCTGGGTATTTGCGAAATACTTAGACTTAAACTGGAGGTGTGGAAATTATGATAATAGGTTACACTGGGACTATGAACATGGGAATATGTTGTAGTTGAACCTATTATGAGAAAGTTAGATTATATATGATTGATATAATCTTGAGTTAAGGATAGACTTGAGGATAAACGTGTTATTATGCTTTGATTATGTAAATAATCATATGTGTTTAAATGTGACAGAAAGAGACATACACTGAGAAATAGCAGATAATCCTAACCAATCAGAACGGACCTCTACCGGTTATGGAAGAGGTCGAGGAAGAAGAAATGTAACCCAAGGAGAAGACTCGGAGAATGTAATGACAATAAAAATGCGAAGTCGCAGCAGGGGTCGAGGAAGAGATAAAAGTACTAGACAAGAAACTCATATGGAACAAGAATTGTTGGCCCAAGAAATTTCAATGTCTGGCCGTGGAAGAGGAAGAGCAAGGGGTGAACATAATGTTCCTAACCGCGGATTTATTACTCAGGAAATGTTGGCAGCAGAGTTGGGAAAATTCCAAGAAAGTTTGGTGAACTTGTTGGGACGTATGGCATAAAATAATCCAGAAATAGTAGATATCATGAACGTCAGGAGGAAGCCGGAGCTAGTACATCGGCAACAGATACATCGATTGTGATAACTAGATCTTGGTTATCACCCGAGGTAATAAATACGTGATTATTTGTTACAAAATGTTTATGTGACAGCATGATAAATTGTTATATTTGATCATGCTAGTATGTGAAATTATATGCATAATATGGATGCATGTATGAGATTGGATGTGTGNGTTTATGTGACAGCATGATAAATTGTTATATTTGATCATGCTAGTATGTGAAATTATATGCATAATATGGATGCATGTATGAGATTGGATGTGTGTCTGTGTGTGCGAAAAATTATATATGTATATGTAGAATTATATCTATATATATATATATATGCATACATGCATGTTATATGAGAATGCATGGTGTGTGGATGTATGCATGTGCATGAAGTGGGTTAGCATGGGAAGGGGRCTGTTTAGCCGACCTTCCAGTTTTAGAAAGATATAAAAGGAGATTGAAGTCTCCATTCTCTTCTTCTTGCCTATTTTTAAAAGTTGTGTGATTTAAGGATAGAGGGAGTGACCGGATTTCAAGTATCTGATTTCAAGAAGGTTGTTTACAAAAAGCTTGTTAAGGTGAGTAATTTCTAAACCTTTTTGCATAAAACTTATTACTGTTTTTATTTGAATGTTATTTATTATTGGAAAGAAATCAGTTATTTTGCTTAAGGGTTTTATCTGGACAAAGGCTGACCGGATTAAGTTTAAATTGGGCAAGGATTGGGTGATTAAGCCCTAAACCAATCAAGCGTTAAGCGTTTAGTTTTAAATCGGTCAAGCTTTGAACGATGTATTGTCCATACTTTTTATCCGGACAAAAGATGTAATTTATTTCTAATGTTAAATCGGACAAGCCTTGGGCGATGAGTTGTCCGGATTTGGTAAACCGGCTAAGACTTGACCAGAGATGAAGTCAGGCCAAGTCTATGTTGACCGGATTTGTATTGTGCCTTGTGCTTGATTGATAAAAATTGTTATTTTATCATAAAATGGAGATTTGATATAAATGATTTTCGGATTGATAATAATTTCAATGGTTGCGGTCTATTTGAAATAATTTTTGTGAAATGTTTTGATGAGGAAATAAGGGTGGCATATCAAAGAGAGGTGTACCATGGGATAAAGGTGGCATATCAAGGAGAGGTGTACCATGGGATAAAGGTGGCATATCAAGGAGAGGTGTACATTTGATATAAGGGTGACATTTGTATGTGTGTTGTATGATATAACTCTTTCTATTATATCCCTTAAGACTACCGTGGTCTGGAATCTTTATTTCTTTGTGATTTAAAGATTTAGGATCAAGATTCTTATTGGAAATCAGAGTCTGGATGTTATTGAGGAGAAAACATCAGGTTTGGCTTGATATTTTAAATAACCTTGTTGATTTGAAAAGGTTTAAAAGTGGCATGATATGGAACCTAGCTGGTTCAAATGTATGATATTTGAATAGCCAAATGCTTAACTTGAAAAGTGGAAAGGATTTGGTATTTTGTTTCTATTTGTTCATATATTTGTTATATATATGAATAGTTGTTTTTCATAAAGGTTTTGGTGATTTTCACCCTGCAATATCATAATAGGGTATCTCACTAGACCTTTCRGTCTAACCCTCATTTTGTGATTTTAACTATGTATTGCAGGAGGTTCGGACGGTAAGGGAAAAAGGAAAATTTGATATTTTTTCTATACACATTTCTGCATGAAAATCTGTTTTGATGTATAGTTTTGATTGATTAGTACAAGAAATGTATTTGAATTTTTGGACCTTGTATTTGGTTATAATAAATTCTTGTACTAAGGGACCTGAATGGGATAATATCATGTATTTCTTTTGTATGAAATATGTGTTACATGCATTTTGTGGTTTGGGGTGTTACTGGAAGTGGTATCAGAGCCTGAGTTTAAGGGATTTAGGTATTTAACAGCATGATACCTAGACTTAAACTATTATATTGCATGTTAAGGGTCCCGGACATAGTTAGCTCCATTGGAAATAAATATGATGGGTTGAAAGAACAGTGTGTAAGGTAAATTTTAATTACATCTGGCCAGTGTAATTATGAATTTACAGGTACACATTTGAACTTGAATACTTCATTATATTTGGGAATGCGAATACGTGATTATTAACACAAAAACCTACAGATGTCTAGCCGAACCCAAAGATCTGAAAGAATGGCTCACCCAGAATCTGAGGAAAGGAAAGAATCGCCTGTTAATCTTCCGACTAGCACGTCTAGAAATAGAGGATGGGGAAGAACAAGGGGACGAGGCAGAGGAAGAAGTCAGTCTCAGGAAAGGGGTCGGATTGAAGTACATTCTGAACATGAAGAATCCCACTCTGGGAATGTTTAGGAAAGATCAGTGCCACACCCTGAATATGTAACCAGGGACATGTTGGCTGAAGAAATGGGGAAGTTGCGGGAAACTTTGACTTCTATTATGGGAATTCCGGCCAGGGTAGAGACAGAAAGAATAGAAGTTCATCCCTCGATGCCAGTTACTCACAACAAAGAGGGGGATATTAAAATGTTTTTGGCATGCAAACCACCAACATTTTCTAGAACAAGAGATCCAGTGAAAGTCGTGTGCTGGATTAAAGAAATGGAATCAGTATTCAACACCATTCGATGTCCGGAAACAGATAAAGTTCGATTTGCTGTTTCAGTATTAAAGTCAAATGCTTTGTTCTGGTGGGAAGTTGAATCATTAGCCAGGACGGATGTTTTACAAACTTTATCCTGGGCAGAATTTGTGAATCGATTTAAAGAACAATTTTGCCCTAAGACAGCTGTACGACAAATGGAAGACGATTTCCTGAAGCTAGAACAAGGAAATGGAACAGTTCGAGAGTATACCGAGAAATTCATTAAATACTCTCGATTTGCTGAGCACTATGTTTCATCAGAATCTAGGAAGATAGAAAGGTATATTTGGGGTTTAAAACCCTCAATTAGAGAGTTTGTAATTGTCATGAACCCCAATACCTTTTCATTAACGGTAGATGCGGCTGAAGTGACCGAA